TGGTGGTGCCCAGGAGACCATATGGGGTGCCATGGATCAAGCCTGGGTTGGTCATTGCAAGGCAAATGCCCTGCCTATTGTACTATGGTTCCAGATGGCACATCTATTATTAATCAAAAAGATTTAATACTTTAAAAAAATCCTGATAGGAAAATAAAAGCAAGGATGCATCTGTTTTCCTCACTTAATATCCATATTCTTTCTTTACAAATAGAGAAATAGCACAGTTCTTTGACATAAATACACATATGTAAAATGTAAATCACAATATAGACACAAAACTATACATTTATATCAACAAATTCTTTAAAATCTACTATTTTCAGGTATTTTCAAAAAGTCACATTGGTTTTGACAAACATTCTAACAAATAGAACTTAAGTGATTTTTGTTATTTTTTTCAAATACAGGGATTACTGCACTTTACACTTTCCATTTGTAACAGCTGAAAGCAAGTTATATTCAAAAGTATTACTAAGGAAAACTGTTTTCTCAGGCATGAAGGAAACACCTTTAAAAGCTACTTCTTTATAAAGTTTTCCTTTTCAAAGCAAATAATTTAAAAGCTTCTCTCTGGTAATTGAGCACAGCTGGGTTTCACATTTGGAAGATTTTCACATTGCATGTTTTAAAATCAGAAACGCACTTCTAGGTAATAAAATATTCTAATATGTAAGAAATCAGGAGTTTTACTTAAAAAAGTTATTTATGGGGAATTCCATTAATATCATTCAGTTTAAATAGTATTTCAACATGACAGAATTATTATACTTGTAAAGATATTTATGCTGGAAGAACTTGGGCTCCCTGATACAGGATCAATTGGAACTCCTCTCTGCACAACATGATCAAGTTGAAACAGGGGCCTGGTAAGCCCAGGGCCTCCATACGGAAATACTGGGGGGAGTCTCTTCTTTCCTCTCATGGCCATTAGCTTGCCTGCCTCCTACCAGAAGTTCCTAAAAAGAAAGTGCTTTCACCCATAATGTGTCAAAACTTGTAGAAACAGCTGCAGCAGGGTGCTGGGTGGCAGCCTGAGAAGGCTGTTTGGGCCTGTGGGAACACAAGCATCCCTGGCTGGGCAGAATTATTTAGATTAACTATAATCAGCACAATGGAAATGAGCTTAAATAGCAAGGAGAGGCCAAAATTTGGGAAGTTGAAGATGGGCCACACCCAATAGTACTCAGGGATGACTCCTGGAGATACTCAGGGGACCATATGTGATGCCAGGAATGAATGCCGGTTCATGCATATGCAAGGAAAGTGCCTTATCTAGAGTATGCATTATCTTTTCAGTCCTAGCTCAGGAACTTTTAAGGATGGATTGCACTGTAAGAACTTCCTCTATGTGTCCCCAACAAACTGTTAAGATTGTCCACAGAACTCTAATCTGAGCCCTAAAGCAGCCATCTCACAGTGCCATTGAAGCTGTGTCACTTACACCAGACCATCCCCCAAACTTCTGTGAATCCAATCCCAGCTTTCTGCATAGAAAAATCTTCAACAACTTAAAATGGAAAATGAAAGAAAAGCTGCTTCCTCTCTTCCCTAGACCCTCTGGAATTTAGAACTTGAATCTTCACCAGTCTATTTGACAAAGAAACTTCCAGGCTTTCCACAGCAGAACGCCAAGATACCACCCCTTCATCTCTGTCCACTAGGATTAGGTGTTCCTGAACATCTGACTCTGTTAAATATTTGCAGTGTCCCAAGGCTGCCATTCCCAGGTTACGCCTTGTAAAACCAGGCTTGTTCTGAAGAAGGAAAAGCACACACCCACAATCCTGGAACCACACCTGAGTCACACAGCCGTGCTCCCTGGAAAAGCAACAGAACCTTTGTCCCTTCTACTGACCTAGGAAGAAGCCCTGCGCTCTCTAGCTCCACCACTCTCACCTCTTCAAAAAGCCATGTGGCCGGAGCCCCCCAGCAGAAAGGCTAGCATTTCCCCTGTCCCCTCCCTTCACACTGCCAGTGTGTCCTCTGGCAATATGATTTCAGTGGGTCACGGAGATGGAGAGGGCTGTGGTGGTGTCACCAGCATGATGTTTCCTTCTCTGCCATCTACCTCAGGTCCCTGCTCCTTATGGCATCACTCATGGCAACAGGAAGCTGGAGTGGGGGAAGAGGGGACGGTCTTCCCTAGAAGAAGGACTGCCATAACTACCTATCTTCTACTTTCACCTCAATCTTCACCACTTTACACATTCGGTCGAGTTACGGAACAGGTTGTTTTGAACTAAGGTATGAAGGACAGCCTGTCACAGTGACAAGAAATGTGTGATTTAATGTCCGCAACAATGTGCAACTTAAAATCCAGATGACATGAAATAGATTTCACAATGCCATCCTGGAATGAAACTCCCATGCAGCTTCTTCATAAATCAACTGAGCAAGCCACTGGCCCCCTTCAACGAAACTTGAAGTGCACTGAAGTGGCAACAATTCTCATTCCCAGCACCATGTCAGCAACCCAGTAGACAGTCAAAATAACACAGATGAGCTTCCTATTTATATGGAGATAAAGTTAAATAATAAAACAAGAATAAGTTGAAAGAAAATACTGAGGTGGTATGGAGAGCATATAAGCATGATACTAACAAATATGGGTTTGGGTAGCACTGTATTAAAACAAGCATTCATGAAAAGATTCAATAATTCTGCAACTCAATTTCATGGACAAACACACATACATAAAATCAAACCAGCGACTTCTCTAAAGAGGGAAAACCTCTTTGGAACACTTAATGGAATCCAACCACTTAATTTGCACAAAAGAAGGTGGAAAGAGGGAAGTCTGGTGGAATGAATATATGACGGTCATTTTTTTTTTTGTTATTGGAAAAGTTTGTCATGGTCAAAATAAGAAAATGATGTAGCAGTTATAATCAAAGACAATAAAACCAATGCCAGAACATGCAATGACAGGCAAAAGGTTGTATAAAGAAAAACAATTAGTGGCATTGACCAGATCCTTGAAGGAAGTAAACTCTAAGGTGAAAAAGCTTTACGAAAGCTAAAAACACTGTTAATATAGTCATTGGGCTATCACAAAATTAATTCCAAAGACCTAGCAGTGACGGACAGCAAAGAGAGCAATGGGCCTGAGAATGAATGTAGCAATGAGAAAAATTAGTTGGATTTTACTAAGGAGCAGGTGGAGAAATAGAGTGAATTAGGATGGAGAATTGGCAGGATAAACTCCTAGGAAGACTTTGAAGTTGTGTCAGAAGAAATACTATCTGCCATGAAAACCTCACCTGCCATTTGTTACCAGTTGAGGCTTTGGGAGGAGACGGGAGGTGATTACTAATGAGAACAAGATTTCTTTGGATCTGAAGATCCTGATCTAAGCAAAAACTAAGGATAGATATGCGAAGGGCTGCTCACAGACAGAGCTATGGGGAGTCCAGACCAGGGCATCCACTAACCCACTTCCAGAAATCTTACCAATATTCTAGGGCAACGTCTAAAATAAAATTAACAAACCTGCAACTTGGTTTTTTAAATCACACTTGATGACTAAATAAAACAAAGGAATGAAATTCTCATTTGATTACATAGTAAGTGGGGTTTGGTCTAAAATTAAATGTAAACTACTCTTCAAAGACACATGGGTACCGCAGCACCAGGGGAGGAGAGCCGCACTGTTAGCTGGTGTTCAACAGAGAATGACTCAAGACAGGGCAGCACCTGGACACCCCTTCCACTGGCTCAGTCTCTTAAAGATGTCAAACTGGAGGTCTGAGAACCCAGGGGCCCAGAACTACCTACAGAAATAGAAATGCAGATTATCTGGAATGGAATCCATTTGTAAGGGCTCTAACATTCTCTGGATGGTTCTCATAAGCACTTGAGACAAGAAACTACTGAAGAGTTCTTAACTTTACAACGAAGGAAAGAGCTGTACAAAGAACTATGATGTTGCTCAAGTCAGTGAGATATGAGCCAGTCGGGATGAGAATCCTGGTCTCCTGACCCTGCGGGGCACAACCACAACTACTGTGGGTGAATAAAGGGAGGAAGCATTCTTAGGAACTCCTGATCTCAAGAGATGGCAGATCCCATTACTGCAGCATTTCTCCCTCAAGGGAGATATGATCTCCTATGGGCCCCCAGCATATTCCAGGAGGGACATAAGTGAAAATCAAGTATAAGGAGGGGCGATCAGGTAGGACAATGGGACCATAGGAAAGAAACAAGGTTGGAAGGGGGACATGGTCAGACTTTGGTTGAGAAACACTGCATCACAGTTATTCATTACTCTGTAAGGATGTAATCTGAGACATGCTACGGTTGGCAGCTCCATCATGGGAACGTCACAGTGTGTACTATGACACACCAAAGCTATGAACAGACATAGTTGTAGAGGTGTTCTGTCATTGATGGAGATGTCATTAGATGGTGCTACCACTGTCCTCAAATGACATTCTGTGAAACATCATTTCATCATAACATCAATGAGAAAAAAATAATTCCAGACTAGAGACTGAGCAAAATGATGTTATCTGGGGATCTGGTACGACTATGTCATTTCACTTCAAGTTTCTAAGAAACTAATGATGACAGTTAAGAAAGTCTCCTGTGTGTGTGGGGGGGGGGGGGGGGAGGAAGAGGGGGAGAGTAACCAACTGGGGAAAATAACTGACCTTGACATGGGCTGGGAAGGCTTCTCAATATGCAGGAATGTCACTGCCTGCTAAGTGTCCCCTGGGACTTTCTATCTCCACCCTCAAGAGAATTAATGGGTGAGAAAGGAAGAAGGCTGTACTTCACAGGCCAGTTCTGATCTGGATTTTTTTTTAAACCCTAATGAGTCTCAAGTTAACACCAAGATGCGTGAAAGCCAATGGACTGGTCACTTCATTCTCTGTATGAGAGGACAGGCCCGGCAGACCGACCTTCGGAGGTCACACTAACACCCTCTATGCAAGCGCTTCGTGCAGGCTCTGGCTGATGCACGGAGCCATGACGATCCCGAGCAGTGTGCTGCTTACCTATAATTCCACTGTCCTTGCTTTCCAGGGTGGAACTAGGGCTGCTAATGGTCTCACAGGGACTTTTGTTGGCTGCCGTCTTGCTGACACAGCTATTCAAGGTTGAGCAGGGACTATCGGTGCTAGGAGATGCGGTGCTGCTTGTTAGTGTGGAGCAAGGACTGATGCCTTGGCTCAGAGTTGTGCACTGTAAGATGAATGGAAGGAGGAGTTAGCATGGCTTAGCAGGGGCAGTCTCTCGTTTTTGACACAAAAAACAATGAAAACTAACCACAGGAAAATAGAGAATGGTCTTTAGCATCTTGGGGACTTTACAGTCTTCCAAATTTTATGAGAAAAATATAGCCTTGTTCTGTCCCCCTCCCTGGTGATTTTCTTTTTCCATTAAAGAAGCCACCTTAGAAATCATTCCGTGGGCATGGACATTCATAAAACAGAGACAGCAAACTGGAAGGCTTCCTTTCATTCAGAGGCTGCAGAAAACAAATGGGTTCTTTGACCTCTGCATGAAAAATCTGGAAACTCAGTTTCTCTCATGTGTCACCAGCACAGCAACCTGCCTCTATTCCTGGAGATTTATGGATGGCAAGATCAGGGGAGGAGACTGGTGGGCTCTGCCCTCGCAATCAGCACGCCCCCTCGTGAGTACACTGGCAGGGATATGTGCTCCCTGCCCTCACTGTTTCACACACGCATGTACACACGCACAGACTCCCAAGTGGAAGGCTGCTGCTCCCTGGGATGGGGAGTGATCGCTGTGAGATGAACCATTTGATCTCATCTTATTTTGTCTTTGCCCTATCTCCTATTAATCTCTTCTTCCCCGCACTGGCCCACCCAAATCTCAACTGCTAAAAGGGTTCAGTAAGGCATTCACCATCACAGCCCGATGATGAAAAGAGTGTTGTGCTACGAAGAGGCAAGTCATGTCATTTACTGGGGATTGCTTTGAGCCCTTTTGTCCATAGGACCACTCTTCTCTGGTGGTGACAGAAGGTTAAAGTGGACATTCCCTGACCTGTGCCCTCATTCTGCTTTTCCCTGCCCCCCCACTGTAACAACCCACATCTAATGAAATAACTCTCAGAACACAACAGCCCAGACAAATGACTGAACAGTAGTGACTCCCCCATCAAGGTAGGGGAGAAGGCGGTTGTCCCTCAGCATTCTCTCAGCGGGTAGGAAAGGCAGCATCTTCCTCGAGTATTTACCATGGTTTCATTTTTTTCTTCAATGGTTATGTGTGTGGAACTTGGGATCCCTTCTCCCAGTAAAAATCCCAGCCTTGTCAACAGTTCTTGAGCTGCCGGCGAACAGCTCGGTTCATTATCGGCCTTTCCTTCTGGAACAAAGAAAGAAAACAATGAAGATGCCCCTCCGGGAATTTCAGAATCGCATCTGGATGAGTTGGCACTACAGCTGCTTGTCTGGTGCTTTTGTATATTTTTATAAAACGCACAAGTCTGACAATGCTGCCTGTCCTCAAGCAATACATTCTAATTAAGAGGCTGTGACAGGTTAAAAAAGCAATACCAGTGAAACGCCGAGTTCAGAGAGTGAAATATTTGGCTTGAATCAAAGGAACAGTATCATAATTTGACAGCAAAATCCCATTTCCAAGTCATGTGAAAAATGGATACTTCAGATACCAAGGGCAGATAAAGGACCTACGCTTCATCTTGCTTTTATTTTTTTAATTATTATTTGCTATATTCTTTTGCAGTGCTGCAAATTGAACCTGTAGCCTCACATATGCAAGGTATGAGCTACAATTCCCAGCCTTTTTAATTATTATTATTTTTATTTTTATTTTTGGACGGGTCTGGGGTCACACCTAAAGATCACAACCCCTAAATTCAGTCCCCAGCTCCCCATATGTGGACCTGGGGATGGAACCAGGGTTGGTTGCAGGCAAGGCAAGAGCCTTAGCGCTTATACTACCTTTCCAGCCCTCTCATCTTAACTTTAAAGAAAACCACTTGTGGCCAATTAGCTTTTAGAAAGCTAAAAGACGAAGTAAAATAAGTAAAAATCAAAGTGGCAACTGGGCAGAGACCCAGGCTATTTGGATGCTGGGGTACAATCCAGAAATTCAATCAACAGGAGCCCAAATTGAAATGAAGATTTTTAAATTCCAGTGAAATGTGTCCCAAGAGACAAGACCCAAATAGTCACTCAGCGCCTGGCATTGAATGCCAGGATGTGGTATCCTTAGTCCTGCAGTAAAAACCTCAGTAAACAGGAGATGTAGAAAAGGACACCTTGCCGTGTGTGTGTGTGCACCCTGGCAATACCAGAGGTACACTGTACCTGAAGACCACAGGGCATACCGGATGCTCTTCCCCTCTGAGGGCTTCTCAACACCAGTCATTGGACTTCTTGCAAGTAAAAGAATGTGACTGTTGTATCTGACTTCAATAGTAAGCCATAGGTTAACATTAGATTCAAGAGCCCCTGTGTGTATTAAATTACACTTATTTGCATGATTTTAACATCTCACTTACATTTCTAAATTGGCATGTATCAGGAGAGGAAATAATGTATAAAGCAAATGTACTCCGAGAAGTCTGAATACATAAGAACAGTAAGTAACCTACAAAATAATCACTTAATGTTTTATCTTTTTTTTGGTTGTCTACATTTATCAGCCTAAATCTGAAAATCTACAGATAATAAAGGATTTTGAGTTTTCAATCTATAATAAAACCACCAACACTCAATGTGAACCTTGCTTTTTCTGAGAAACCACATAAAAAATATGAACACAGATAAGAAGACCATAATTTTCATCCTCACTTGCCTATCAGTTTTGCTAAGTAATATTCCCAAGATGGCAGTTACAAGGGAAATTTCAAGGGATTTATCTTCAGGGAAGGAAAAGGACCCTCACTCTTGGCCTTTTTTCAAAAGGCTATGTATAGGAGTGTGAAGGGTTGTTTGTCCATTTGGGATACTGCTTGTGACTCTAGGAAATCATAGGGGTAAGGTACCCAAGGCTTAACAGTTCTGGGTAAGAAGAATTGTGATATTACAGGATCAATAGTGTTAAACTCCTACTGTAAAGCAGTGTAGCCCCAAACCAACTGGGAAAGGAGCCACCCTAGGCGGGTCCCCCAACTCTCAATGCCACTATTTACAGTCCCTTTCCCACCAGAGATCTCCAACCACACTCTGATCCTCAAGACACCCGGACACCTGAGAAAGGAGACAGGAACCCAACCAAATCAGCACAGCCCAGGCACACCTACAACCCCGGCCGCCAGCTCACTTCAGAGCCTGTTCAGTGCCACCTGCCCACGCCCAAGGCCCAGGCAGGGCCACTGCTTTAGCTTAAGAGGCAGCCCAACCAGAGGAGAGGACAGGACACAGATGGAAAGGCAAGGAAGTGGGTGAGGGGGCAGAGCTCAGCAGTTTCTCTATGCCACACCCCCTTCCTTTGGAAACAATCTCTCTACCACAATCCAGTTGTGACTGTGCCCCAGAATGTTTAACTTCTGGTTCAACCTGAAACACTCTGGGGAGAGAGCCAGAACTACTCCCAGTTGGCAGCTGCTGTGGAGATAGAGATAGCAGCTGCGTAGGCGTGGCAGCAACAGAATTTACCCTGACAACAGGCAAGGCCATCCCCTATGGCTTGAATGGGGCTCCTTCTGCGACCCTGGATCCAGTGCAGGGCTGTGGAGAGGAAAGGGGGTACCCCACCCATCACCGTTGCCTCTCCACCACATCTAGTAGATACTGCAGATTCCCAAGGATTTATTAAAGTATCTTAAAAATATATAGCCCAAACAGTTGTCATCCACCCCTTCAGACACGCTGGGAAGTAGTGTCAATACCAGGTATAATGTCTGAACTGATGACCAACACCCAAATTTATGATTAATTTGTTTTCTTTACTGTTCAACCCAGACTCTGCAGCTACCAAAATTTCAAAACGCTCACTGGGTTCAAAGTGAATGCACAGATGTTCATTTTTCAGGTTTTGCATCCGTTAAGCCACTGTAATTTTTCTTCCAATGGTTTCCCAGCTGTCTTTTCTTATTTTTCAATCTTCTGAAAAATCTTTCCCTCAGAAACCTGTTCAGTCTGAATTTCTTAATCCATGTCAAATCAGTCACATTTCCGTCCTGACCACTCAGAGCCTTCTCTCACTGAACTATTCTAGCACGAGAACCCTGCATGAAGTGAGTCATTTGGGGAGAGCTGAGTTGTTTAGAAGCTCACACTGATATGCTCAAATGTTTCTGCTTCTAAAATCATCACCAGCTACTGAGATTTAAACAGTTAGGCGCAATTTTCTTTACGCTAAGACTAACTCTGATACACTCCCCAAACCAAAATATAATTGGATACTCTAAAGGCAGAACATTTTCATTCACGTAGCTAATATTTAATCACTCATCAATGATGGGTGTAACCCACCCAATACCAGAGATAGGAGCTGGTGAATACATCTCTTAGCAATACTTTGTCTCTCAAATTTAAATATCCAAAGAATTTAGGATGGCTAAATTTGGAGCCAAGAGACTAATTGGTTTCACACTCCCCAGACTTCATTAAGCAAGTACAGAGTGATTTTCCTCCTGAGAATGATTTCATGGAATCATCTGTTATACTATTATGGAATGACTATGTGAAGAAAGGCAGGGAAATTTCTTGGATCACTTCCTATCATTTTTGACATTCACAACTATTGGACCACATTTTGGACATGAACCTCATATGCAATCCATATAAATAGCTCTCTAATTCCCTCCATCACAGCAGCAAGTCATGTGAGCCCTTATAATCCTCCACCATCCTCATGTCCTTCCCTGCAGCTTCAAAAGAAAAACCATTTTTCATGTTAAAGCTATTCTGGACTTAGTGTAGACCTCTATAAGCCTCAATTTTCTCATCTGTGAACGCAACCCACTTCCTATAGATAGTGAAGTTTAAAACTTGTGAAACACTCATAAACCAAACATCTGCGATAATAGGTGTTGCATCAAAGTCAGCCATTATTTTTTACCAACTTTATCAGTAAGAGCTCATTTTCACACAATGATTTCAATTTGTTTTCATGCATTCACAGTGCGCTTACATTTCTCTTGCCTTAAAAAAAAAACAATTTTCTGTTGATAATTTCAGTTCTGGAGATCTTTTTTCTAAACTCACTATTCTTTCAAAACAACACACCTTTTTTTCCTGACCAAATTTTTTCTGCTTGGTTCACACTTACTGCTTTTATTTATCATCTTAATCACCGTCTCTTCTTAATACCAAACTCTGTTAGAACGCTGTGGGTCCCTGGAGATAACCAAAATCATTCCACCAAGAGAATTCTCTCCCTTTGCTCTTTTCCTTTCAAACTCCGGAGAGCAGTGGGCACTAATGGCAATGCTTGACCTTGAACAACTTAATCAGTTACCAAGCCAGAATCAGAATTCTCGCTTAAGAAAAAAAATCAAGCCTGTTAAATGAGGCAAACACTTGACAGATATTACAGTACCCCTTCTTCTGTCTTTACCAATATATGGTTTGCCATAAGGTGGACCGGGGTGAGGGAGGGAAATGGACTCCCAAGTGTTGGCCAGAGATCCAGGGCCACTCCTGGTGATACTTGGAGAACCAGACCGAAAGGGTCAACGCTACGCCCAAGTATGCAGAGCTGCCTGGGCCCCACTGTACTGGGAGCCAGCGGGCTGCCCAGCAGGGAGCCAGCAGGGCTGCTCAGCAGGTACTCGGCTCCAGGGTTCCACCCACTCGGCGATTATACTCACTCAGTGGCCACGTGATGCGGAGGCAGAATCAGTATCTGGCACGTGCTTGTGCCCTAAATCCTGTACTATTTCCCAGGCTCCTCTGGTCTACTTTTTATAACCTCTTGCCTTCCAGACCTTTCAACGAGTATCTTCCTGTTTCTTTCCAGATGCTTCTTTCAAATTACCATTGTGCCCCATCCCTCTGGGATCTCCAAAATTAGTACATGTAGAGGAGCATCTATCCATAAAGCTGATCTGTTTTTGTCAACAATGGTATCTAGTCTGTGATGCAATCACATAGCTCTTATTCACATTATCTTTTAAGAGTTTTGACTTATTTGCCCCATATTGAAATTGTCAACAAATCACCTACCTTTTCAAATATCTCTTTTTCTCTTCATTCATCCTGCCACTAAACTTTATCCCCTCAGGTCTAGCGACCAGTATCTGGATATATTTTTTTTTATTTTCTTTCTTCTTTTCCGTCCTCTAGGCAGTATGAGTCTTAAAACCTTCTAGCACTCATTACTTAAAACTTGAGGACTCCAAATAACTCTGGCTTATACTGGCTGACACTTAATCATGAAAATTAAAAGAG